TCAACTAGCTAGCTGAGGTCCAAGTCAGCCCGATGCAGCGGGTCTCAACAAGGACCCCTAGCACTCAAAGCCAAGGGTTTATATAGCATTTTCAAAACACTTAACTCATAGTAATTTTCCACAGCTGCACATTATTCTTGCAAGACATACATCCTGGGGTTAGGCAGGAGCAAGATAAGACCACTCCTCAATTGTCAGGGAGGTTCTGCACGATAAGCTTGGTATGTAGGATTAGCTGACCAAGGTTAGCTGACTAAAGGCCACAGCTGCCCACCACCCGGTGCTCATGATTAGCTTGTTTTTCAAGGCCTTACCCAGTTCCAGTTTTTCTTTTTAAGTCACATACTCAGAAAATGGCTTCTAGGCCTTTAAGATGGCTATGCTTATGCTAACCTATTTCTATTCTTACAGGACATTCCAACGACCTCCCCCTTAGGTTCAATTAACTTGCTAGAGTGGCTCACAGACCTCAGGAACACACTTACCCTTAATAAAGGATACCATAAAAGATACAAGTTAACAGTCACATGAAGAGACACACAAGACAAGGTCCCAAATAAAGGAGCTTCTGTCCTCACAGAGCTTGAGGCCTGGCTCAGTGGCATGTAAGGTGTTCTGGTTCCCCAAGCCTGAACTCAGACTGAGAAGCAGGATCCAAGAGACCAATAAGCCCTTCTCAGGGGTTTTTGTGAGGACTTCATTGCAGTCATGATTGACTAAATTATTGGCCATTGGCTGATTCAACCTCCACACCCTGCCACTGTGAGGGAGTCCCACAGTCTCTCATTCACATGTCAAGGCGTGCATTTCACATTTATGCTTCTGCAGTATTTTTGGGAACCGTGGATGAAGACCAAATATACCTGGGAAATATATACGTGGTCATCTGAATCACCAGATATGTATTTCTTATGACTCATTATATCACAGTCCACCCAGTGTCTCCAAACACAGATTCCTTACTGTTGCTCCAGGAGGAAGGAGGGAGTTCTCTACCTTGGGCAAGTTCCCCATGTATTTGGGTAGACCAAACAAGGGCTGGGGCAAGAAGCTGGGGCTTTAAAATGTGTTTTTTTTTTCTTTCCCAGATGGATATCTCAGTGTTTCTTTGGCTGTCCTGGTCACCCTCTCCCCACTTGCACAGCCGCCCTTCCTTGCTCTCCCTGTGGCCTCCCTTCTCCACCCCTCCCACCAGGGGCACCCTGTGTGGGGGTCTCTCGCGACTAGTGGATGCCTGACAAATCGCATACAGGAACTCAGGATAGAACAGAATAGATGTTTCCTCTGTACCCCTCCCCTGGGCTGGTACGCCCGTGACTGAACAGCTGCTCTGTCCCAGTAAACATCCCACAGATGTGCAAACAGGCTCTTATATGTATATGCAATGGGCGCTATTAAGGCCAGGTGGAATCCTGGTCAGAAATTCCCATTTTCTCCACACTTACAGGAAAATGATTATACCCATCATAGCACTTACATCTGGTATGGCATTAACACTGTAAGGCTGGAGGTACCGGAGGGAGGAACGAGGATAGTGCAGGCTGAGCGGAGACAGAACCAAGTAATTCTGTGCCATATGGGGAAGGAACAAAGAGCTCTTCCTGGATTCCAGTTCCATGACGTACCAACAAGCCCCGGATGCAGACCCCCTCCATCCGGAAGGAGACCTCTGACTGTCCATCACCCGACCCTGAGCCAATAAAAATTTCCACACACACCCCTGACGTGGCCCACTTCCCCTCCCTTCCCTGTTCTCTTAAAAACTCCCCACCTGCCCTGCTGGACGCAATTTCTCCAGCCTGTGTTTCAGACTGGTGAACCTCGCCCAGGATTGCGCTCAGATAAACTGCCTGGCCCTTTGTTGCCTCTCGTCGCCTGCTTATTTTGGTTACAATTCACCTTACAAACACAACAGATAGAGCAATTGCACCAAGGCAAGTAGGCCTAACATTTGTAGAAGCCTGTGTGGGGTGGGGACAGAATTAAAGAATTAAGTTATTTGTCTTATGAAGTCTTATGACCACAGTTTCTCCCAGATAAATTAACTCTGACTTGTAGGCTGTCATTCAACCTTGTCAGGTTCCAAGAGCAGTTGGTCTTGGCAAACACATGGCTTCACCTTTCTGGGCATCTGGTATGTTTTTGCCAGGAGATATTATTCTCTTGCCCTGAGCCTCTCTTGAGGCATTAATAAAATGTTGGAATCTCCTCACTGCACAACCCACTTACTCATCCCTTTACCCTTAGCGATAATTTCTCCTTCTCTCCATTTTTCATTTATCTGTATCCAGACTTTTCCCCGTGCGGAAGGGGTATCAGGTTCATCTACAGTGCTGGTCCAGATTTCTGGCAGCAATACCAGTCTAACAAGTGCCTCCCCCTCAGTCCACTCCCAGTCACATAGGGCAGGGTTACACTGGTGCAGAGCTAGAGGAATGTCCCAGGC